CTCCAGCTCCTCCTCCTCCTGCTGCTGCTCCACAGCGGCCACCGCCTCCGTGCTCCTCGTGCTCCCCCTGCTCCTCCTCCTTCTCCTGCTTCTCCTCCTACTCTTTCTGCTCCTCCGGCTCCTTCTGCTCCTCCTCCTCCTTCGCCTCCTCCTCCTCCTTCGCCTCCTCCTCCGCCTCCTGCTCCTCCTCCTGCTCCTCCTGCTCCTCCTGATCCTACTCCTGATCCTCCTCCTCCTCCTCCTCCTGCTCCTCCTCCTCCTCCTTATCCTGCTCCTCATTATCGTGCTCCTCCTGCTCGTGCTCCTCCTCCTCCTCCTCCTCCTCCTCCTCCTCCTCCTCCACTTCGTCGTCCTCGTCATCGCCGTCTTCAGGGCCGTCGGCACCTGCCGTAAGGTCTTCGCAATCGAGCCAGAGGTAGATCGACGCAGGCCTCTGTGATCCGACATGAGCCGAGATCGGTCGAGGGACATTGCGGTCGGGATGTGTTGCTTCGCGTGCCGCTGCGGCGCCCCTAGCGGCACGCCGTGCCATGCGAGCGGATAGCATGTCGCTCCGCTCCGCGGGGCGCGAGGTCGGAAACGTTCGGGACGTTGGTGCTGCAGGGCCGAGCAGTGGATAGCGAGTGTCGCACCGAAGGGCGGTGGGCCAGAACCGACAGAACAACACGCTATCCAAAAGCTCCCGACCATAAGAGATGTCTAAGTAATCCTGGGCAGTCGCGGGAGATCCAGCGCGAGTCGCGATCGCGAGGGGGAGAACTACAAGAACACACATATTGCGGTGGCACCGTATGGATGCCTCCTATGTCATCTTGCTGGCTCTTGCGCGTCGACGCTGGCCGACGCTGATCGACACTGATTGACGCAAAATCAACGCACATTGACGCTACATCGGCGCTTTCTCATCGATTACCAAACGCCAACGCACACTGAGACAAACATTGCACAGGCATGCAACGCTCCCGTGATTTGCGACCGAAGGAAACCACATACAGTAGGAGCTCGGCCACAATAAGCCTTCCACAAGAAACCCAACGCTGAGACACCAGGACGTCCATTGTTTTGTGATGTGGGACCGCCACGCTTTCCATAACAAAACCATCGAAGCCCAAGAAACCAGGGGCACCCTGGAGGCAAGCATGGTGTTTCTTGGTCGGGGCTGCCACTGCTTGGTCGGGGCTGCCACTGCACTGCATGAGCGTCAACTTCTGGAGCTCCTCTCGGGCTCGTGGATTTTTCTCGGATCGGCGCTGGCCTCCAGACCCCCCCCCCCGCTCAAGCACCTGGCGCGCGGAGTGTGCCGTGGGACGGCGCGCAGCCGCCAGCGGGAGGGGTGGCCACGCGCAGATCCAGGACATCACCGCGGACCTCCCACAAGTTGGTGCTCACGTGTGCTTGTCACGGTGGTCGCAATTAGCCCCTGGCTGTCGCACCTCAGTTCACTTTGAGTTGAGTGTTCTCCTCGTTTTCTAGCCGCTGCATGTGTTTTTGGCTTGCAGTTCCGATAGCCCATCCATCGCTTGCATATGGCAGTGTGCGACACTTGTACGCTGCGCTATCGACAGTGCTCGATCGAAGTTAGCACTTCCATCTGCTGCTCGCGCATGAGGACCCTCTGCGCCGCTGACAAAGCAATTAAACAAGTGTTTCTCCTTCTGGATTCTAGAGAGACTGCCTGACGAGACTTCAGTGGCAACTCATCGGAGGCTCCCATGTGCTCTTGCTGGCCCTTGGAATTCGACGCTCAACGACGAACAGACGCTAGCGCACCCTTCTGACGAGTTTACATGGACATAGAAGGCTCCCGTGAGTTGCTGCCGAATTCTTTGAGACTCTAGAGAGATGCGCGGAGGAGACGATTGCGAACCACTTCTGGGTGTCCTCTGGGGCCGCTCGTGGCTACCAGAGAAAAACATTTCCAGCGGCCGGATCTTCGCAACGCCACGTCGGGCCATCGCATGCGACCCCGCCAGGGGGAGACCTATTGGCCCAAGGCAGGACCGCCCGAAAGGGACGCTCCATTGGAGAGTCGATAGACGCTCTCCTGTAGTCTGCTGGGCCCTCTTGGGCCTCTGGAGGCCGCCGGGGAGGATGGAGAAACTCCGGAGGCGAAACCGTTGGAGCTCTCCGAGAGCGTCATGAATACACGATCCCGGGTCGAGGGGTCACAGACACCCCAACCCCCAGATAAGATGGGTCCCCAGGGCTGCCCGTCCCCGCCCAAGATGGGATTGGGGGGGACGACAACGAGGGCGACGACGACGACGACGAAGAAGGCGACGGCAACAAGGAAGGCGACGTCGAAGACCACGACCACGACCATGGCGACGATGGCTTTGACGACGACGTAGCACCGCAGCACCACAGCACACCCACGGGTGGTTGCACCGCAGCACCATGCCACGCCCAAAGGCACCACACCTCACCCACAGAGGGGGGGGGGGGCACCGGGCGCATTGGGGAGGAGGGTTTCCGACCCTGGATTATATGGGGGTGGGGCTCTGTGGAAACGTTCTGAACAACTCCAGTCGGCGATGCTTTTCCGGCACGAAGAGGGGGAATAGGTTGTTGGGGGGGGAGGGAAAGTGGAGGGAGACCGGTACCTCCGACGTCTTGCACACGTGCTGACGAAACCTGCTTCCCCAACACGCACACAGAACGGGGAAGCTGGTCTTGGGGAAGGGGTCGAGATCTCGAGGGGTCCACGTTGCAAGACAGCTATGCTGTCGGGAGTCGGGAGGGAGACCTGGGACCGAGGATCGCTGCGCCCCTTCCTCTACTAACTTTCTTCTCTGCAGAAGGCGCTCCGTCTCTCTCCCTCCCTCCCTCCCTCTCCCTCCCCGCACCTGCGCCGTCTCCAGCTCCTCCCCTTCCCCTCACCTCCTATTCCTCCTCCGCCTCCGCCTCCGCCTCCTGATCCTGCTCCTCGTCCTCACCAACGTTCAAAAACTCTATGAGAACGCCTCTCCTATCTCCCACGAGCCCGACCGCGTCCCATCCTGCCCGCACCCCATCTAGCCGCGGCCTCTGAAGCTGTAAATGACACAACTGGTGCACATCGCGTCAAGTTTCCCCCAACAACTAATACCATCCAGTGTCGGGAGCGGCCAAGAGGGGGGTGTCCAAGAGGGGGGGGGTGCAAATCATGACAGGCGGCATGTGCGCGGCCCAGCGGGGGGGCCTGGGACGTAATAAAATAAGAAGAGGCGCCATGAAATCTGAGGAAAAATCATGGCCCGCGCCATGAAGTCCACCCCCCCCTAGTCATCACCCCCCTCTTTTCCGCTCCCGACAATGGCGGAGACCGATCCGGCCACAGCATCGTTCCGGGAAAGTGACACTATGCGTGCCGCATGGGAGCCTCGCGCTTATCTTGGACATTCTAGGCAGCGCGCGCGGAATTCATACATGACGTCGCATGGGTCGCGCGCGCGCGCACGCCGTCCCCATTAGGAGGAGGAGGAGGAGGAGGAGGAGGAGGAGGAGGAGGAGGACAACATTAATAAGATTTGCGCTCGGGTTCTTGAGCATTCACGGTTCTTTAGATATGGACTTTGAAGCAAGTGGAGACCGCGCGCGCGCAAATCCCAGTCAACGCCATCTGGGCAGCGCACTCATGAAACCATCAACTTGCACGGCCCTGCACATAGGCTGGGAACACTTGAGATCCTGGGTAAGTTATCGTCGGTCACTTATCACGCGGCTTCTGGCATGGGCGCCAACTTTTTCATGAGGCGAAGGCATCCGAGTGTTGATAACTAACTTTATGAGTGCTTGGGCGGGCGGAGTTGGTGCGCCATCTTGGGTGTTGATGATACTGATCTAAGATCACCTTGTGCTCTCGGCTCGTTCTAACTCCACCTCTCCCTCCCTTCCTCTGCTACTGCTGCTGTTGCTGCTGCTGCTCTTCCGCCTCCGCCTCCGCCTCGGCCTCCTTCTCCCACTCCTCACTGCTCCCCCCTCCTGCATCTTCCATCCTACCCCCGCCCCCCATTGATCCTCATTGGTCCCCTTTTTCAAGCCATCCCTCCTCACTTTTTGCTCGCCGCCTCCGCCTCCTCTGAAGGGGCCCTGGGACACACAAATAAATACACACAAATAAAATGATTCCCCATATTTTCCCATATTTTCTGGGTTTTTGTCTTCCCGCCCAATTCCCATATTTTCCCATATTTTCCTGGGACTCGACGATTAATTGTGTCTGTGTGTTTTTTCCCCTCCTGATCCTCCCCCGCCTAACGACGCCGTCGACGACGACAAAAGCCAAAAAGACGACAACGGCGACGACAACGACGTCCTGACGACGACGACGGCACCGCCGACGGCCCAGACCCGAACACCAACGACCTGCGACCGGCGGCGACTGGCGACGGACGCCGCCACCGACGATGGGGACGGCAGCGGCTCATGGCGGCTGCGGAACGCGACGGACGACTGCGGCGACGACGGCGACAACGACGAGAACGTCGGCGAGGAACGGTGGCGGCGGAACACGACGGAGGACGTCGGCGACGGCGGGCGGCAAACGCGACGGCGACGACGACGGGCGGACAGACTTGAGCAGGGACCAACCATCCCCACATTCCACGGAGTATTCTTAGAACGCAAGAATGTTCAAAGAACGAAGACATCTTCGTAATCTAGCACCGGTTGGTTAAGGCAAGGCGGTCTCTGCCAGACACGTTCTGCGAAACCTGCGTGCTCGCCACACTTCCCCGCGGTGAGCCTCTACAGTCAACCCACATAGTAAGGATAGCAACCTTCCCAAGGGTACCCTTGCATCCTTGCCTCCTCGGTCCATCCTTCGCCGCTTTCGCTGGCCGCGCCCTGCTCGAAAAGCTTCGAAATGGGCGTCCAAGGCCCTTGCATCCTTATGGCGCATCCTTACTATACTGGTTGACTGTAGGGAAAGTCGAGACGCGTCGCCACAACTTCAGCGGACGGACGGACGGCGGAGTCGGCAGCACTGCCCTGCCCTCCGCGCGGCGGGCCGGGGCGGCCTGCGCGGCGGTGGGGGCCCTCGCGCAAAGGCCTCGCGGGCCCGTTGTGGCGTGCGCCGCGCGCCCGCCGTCGTCCCCAATTGCCGCCACCGCCGCCAGCCGCAGCCGCAGCCGCCGCCGTCGTCGTCGTCGTCGTCGTCGTCGTCGTCGTCGTCGTCGTCGTCGTCGTCGTCGTCATCGTCATCGTCGTCGTCGTCGTCGTCGTAGTCGTAGTCGTCGTCGTCGTAGTCGTAGTCGTCGTTGTCGTCGTCGTCGTCGTCGTCGTCGTCGTCGTCGTCGTCGTCTTCGTCGTCGTCGTCGTCGTCAATCGTCGTCGTCGTCGTTGTTTTGGCTGTCGTCGTCGTCGTCGATGTCTAGGTCATCCTCGATTCCATAAACCCCCCTCGCCTCCCTCTTGCTCCTCCCCTTCCTCCTCCTCCTCCTCTGCCTAATCCTCCCTCCCCGTTCACTGTCTCCTCTTGCTCCTGCTGCTCCTCCTTGCTCCTCATGATTTTTCTCCTCCTCCTCCTCCTCCTGCTCCTCTTCCTCCTCTTCACCCTCGTCCTCCTCCGCCTCCATATTCGTTCGTTAATTTTCCTTCATAACTCCTCCTCCCCCTCCTACACCATCTTCGTCGCCGACCACCTCCTCACTCAGTGGATAGGCGAAGGGAGGGAGCGTAAGGCCCTTTCCTCCTTCTCCTCCTCCTCCTTCTCCTCCTCCTCCTCCTCCTCCTCCTCCTCATCCTCCCCCTTATCCTTCTCCTCATGCTCATCCTCCTCCTTCCCATTCCTCCTCTCCCCTCCTTGTTCCTCCTGCCCTCCCCCATCCTCCACGAAAGCGGACTTCCCACCTCCCGCTCCCTCCTCCGTGACCCCGCCTCCTCCCTCATCCCTCCAACATCAGCTTCTCGGGGTGGGGATCGAAGAAGGAGGGGGAGGGGGGAGGGGGGAGGAGGAGGAGGAGGAGGAGGAGGACGACGAGGAGGAGGAGGAGGACGTCGAGGAGGAGGAGGTGAACAAAAACGCGGAGGATGAGCAGGAGGAGATCGACGAGGACGAGAATTGAAACGATGAAAGAGGACTAAGGTGGAACCGACGGGCGGTGGATACTGAGGAGAAGGAAGAACGTGGTGGAGGACGGACGTCCGGCGGACGCGCCTGGCCTGGATGGACTCCAGACCGAAGACGGGCCAGGTGCTGGTGCCGCGGATTCAGGACAGGGAGGAGGCAGGAAGAAAGGAGGACAGACGAGGAGGAAGAGGAGGAGGAGGAAGGTGAGGACGACAAGGAGGAGCAGATGAGGAGGAGGCGGATGAGGAGGAGCAGGATGAGGAGGAGGAGGAGGAGGGGGCGGAGGAGAGAGGAGGAGGAGGAGAGAGGAGGAGAAGGAGAGAGGAGGACGGTGCGGGAGATGGAGGATGAGGAGGAGGAGGAGGAGACGGAGGAGGAGAAGCATGAGGAACCGGGGAGGACATGTAGGAGGAGGAGGAGGAGGAGGAGGAGGAGGAGGAGAAGATGAACCAGGGAGGGGGGGGGGGGGGGAGGAAGAGGGGGGGAGGAGCAAGAGGGGAGGAGGAGGAGGAGGAGGAGGAGGAGGACCACGGAGGGGTGGAGGAAGAGGAGGCGGAGGAGGGGGAGGCGGAGGAGGAAGGGGAGGTGGAGGAGGAGGAGGAGCGGAAGAAGGAGGAAGAGGAGGAGGAAGAGGACAAGGAGGACCACGGAGGGGGGGGGGAGAGGAAACGGATGAGGAGGAGGCGGAGGAGAAGGAGGATGAGGAAAGGGAGGTGGAGAAGGAGGAGACGAGGACAGGCTGGATGACATAGAGGATGATGATGCTGATGATGATGATGCTGTTGCTGATGATGACGATGCTGATGATGATGATGATGATGATGAGCAGGATGATGGTGATTATGATGATGTTGATGATGCTGCTGATGATGATGATGACGATGATAATGGTGCGGATGATGCTGATTATGCCGATGATGCTGATGATGATGATGAGGAGGAGGAGGAGGCGGAGGAGGACGCGAAGGAGGATGATTAGGAGGAGGAGGAGGAGGAGGAAGAGGAGGATAAGAAGGAGGATGAGGAGGTGGATAAGGAGGAGGTCGAGGATGACCAATAAGGAAGGAGGAAGAAGATGAGGACGAAGAGACGGAGGAAGAGGAGTGGAGGATGAACAGTCGGGGAATATGGAGGAGGAGAAGGCGGAGGGGGAGGAGGAGGAGGAGGAGGAGGAGGAGGAGGAGGAGGAGGAGGAAGAGGGGAGGGGAGGAGGAGGAGGAGGAGGAGGGGGAGGAGGAGGCGGAGACGAAGAAAGGGGAAGTGGGAGGATGAGGGGGAGGGGGGGGAGAGGAGGGAGGAGGAGGAGGAGGAGGAGGAGACGGTGGGGGAGGAGGAGGGAAGAGGAGGAGAGGAGGAGGCGGAGGAGGAGGATAGGAGGAGGAGGAGGCGGAGGAGGAGGAGGAGGAGGAGGGAGGACGACGAGGGAGGAGGAGGAGGGACGAGGGAGGAGGACGGTGGAAGATTTGGGAGGAGGAAGAGGAGGAGGAGACGGAGGAGGGGAGAGGAGGATGAGGAGGAGGAGGGGGAGGATGAGGAGGGCGAAGATGAGTGGAGGAGGAGGATGAGGAGGAGGAGGAGGAGGAAGGAGGAGAGGCGGCGGAGAGGAGGAGGAGGGGGAGGAGGGGGCGGAGGGGAGAGAAGGAGGAGGAGGGAGGAGGAGGGCGAAGATGAGTGGAGGAGGAGGAGGAGGATGAGGAGGAGGAGAAGGAGGCGGCGGAGAGGAGGAGAGGAGGAGGAGGAGGAGGCGGAGGAGGAGGAGGAAGAGGAGGAGGAAGAGGAGGAGGAGGAGGAGGAGGAGGAGGGAGGAGGAGAGAGGAGGAGGAGGAGGAGAGGAGGAGGAGGAGGAGGAGGAGGAGGAGGAGTAACCATAAGTAACCATGAAGGGACGAAGTCCAAGCAAGACAAAACGAGTTGGGCGGGGACTAATCCGAAGAAGAGTCCCCGCGGTGAGGGAGGGCGGTCGGGCGGCGCGCGCGGGGCCGCCCTTCGGGTGGGGCGGCTGCGGCGCGCCTGCCAGCGCCGCCCGCGTCGTGGGCGGGGGGCGGCGCGCGCGAGAGAGCACGCGCGGCGCGCCGCCCCCTCGCTTCGCTCCCTTCCCCGACCGACGACGACGCTCCGCCTCCACCGCCCTCTTCATGACTGGCCTCATCCTCCCCCGAGCTCTCCTCGCACTGTGGGCCACCACGGCCTCGCACCCAGCGCGGATCTGCTGGGTGACGAGCGGGGGCCCTTTGTGCGAGGGAAACAAACCCTTGCTTAAACGCGTAAGGTTTTGAGCTCCTTTGGGGGCGGGGGCCATGCATTTACGGGCGAGCCACCTGCCATCTATCGCGGCAGTCATGCCGCACTGTGAACAGAAACGCAGGGAAAACTCTGGCCAGAGATGAATGAGATGAGAGCTGTGCGCCAGCGAAGTGCCAATCCAAACCTCTCCACGCCGACGAACGAACTTCGACCACAGCGAGGCGACCGAAACATCGACAGGAGAAAGACCAGGGCAGGGCAAGGCACAAAATCTGAGCAGCTGTGAGGACGGGACGACCTGACAGCATCTCTTGCACCTCCACTTCGACCCATACTGCTCGCAGTCGTGCGAGGTGTCAGTGAGGGCTCGAGTCTGCTGGGAGGGAGGAGGCACACGCTGCTTGCCCAACCTGGTCGCCTGCCAGGGATCGACCTGCAGGGCAGAGACCAACGCGCGCCTGACTCGGCGTCTCACGAAATGGGCAATACAATCATACATATCAGTCTTGGGCACTGGCTGCTGAGTGTACAACTGCAGGCCTTGCTCCGCGGCTTTACCTGCAAAATCGCCAGCGCACATGTTGCCCGAGGTGAGAAAAGTTTGCCAATCAGTGAGTTCCCTATCCGTATCCTCGAGATGGGCGGCCGTCCACGCGATCTGCACTTCAGCCTCACCCCTGCACCGAAGCGCCACCGCCACCCTGTACCACAAATCCTGATTTGGGCCTAGCTTGCCGTGGGCTCGGCCAGCACGCCATCCATCGAGAACTGGTTGGCAATCAGTTACATAAATGATGGGTCCCGTGGTTTCCTCCAGGGCAATGGCGAGCGCAGCTATCTCCGCGCGCGGCGCAGTTTGCCGTGGCCCAAGGAGGGGGGCAGAGACCCCGCAAACAGGCTCCCAAGAGCCATCGGAAGCCTGCCTGATCAGAGCAACTCCTGAACCACAGCGGCGCCTGCGGGGGTCGTTACTGTACTTACCCCCAGATCCATCCCCAAAGAAATAGGGTGGGTCCTGGCCCGGCAAAACGCAGGCCTCAGACAGCCGAGAGGTGCCATGGTACGTGTTCGGAGGAGGCTCAAGGGGGTCGAGGAAGTGGGGACAGGTGAGATCTTTCGCTGGCACGCCTCTCAGCCACAACGAAGGATCGGCTTCCCACTGGGCAGCCGCCTGAGTGCACAAAGCCTGAGTGCTGTCAAAGTCTGGGTGATCCACGTTACATTCGCACTGCCATATTCGGTGATACAATGTCTCAGGAGCCTTCTTGCACATTGGACAAGTTACCTCAACCGTGTAGCCACTGTCAGCTTGGCGCTGCCGTGGCCACTGACCTCCAGAGGCCACGCACAAAGTGAGGCCCCAAAGATCGGCTTGGCCCCGAGACTCGAACCTACGGAGTTCCTGAGACAGCGGGAGGAGGTCGGCTCCTTCCCTAAGCGAAGTGCCTCCTTCGTGCTCCGCAGCGCCCTGCCAGAGGCCAGCTCTTAAATCAGAAACGAACTCATATAGGAAGTCAGTGTGGTCTGTGAGCGCCAACAATTCAAAGTGGGGATCGCCTGGCCTCGGAAATCTCCAAGCATGATTCGAGTGAGACGGCCGTTCCCAGAGGTCTGGCTCGCGGGGCTCCCAGCCAGCGTCAAGCAGCGTGGCCTGGACAGCGGCTATGGGACCACGAATCCCTCGCCAGCGCCGAGGGCCCAGTTTGTCGAGCTGCGCCCTGACCAACCCCCAGGAACGGCGGATGCGAGGCTGGAGAGCTGGAAATCGTTTCCAGAGCTGGAGCCACGAGTCAACTAGTTGGCGCCTGACCTCCAAGGCTGGGTCGCCATCTCCCAACACGGCCTGCAGCACTGCGGTTAAACACTTTCCTTTGCTGTTGCCAGAGACCGTGCGAGCAGCTTGTCGCCTTAAAAGGAGGACCTGACTCGGTGGCATACCCATCACTTGGTGTCCGTAGCTGGCCTGAGGCAAGGCACCCGTGCGCCAAGCGCCTTGAGTGACTTTCCGCAAGCCTGCAAGTCGCCTCATCTTTAAAATCCGAGAAAACCTACCGCTGGCCTTGGTCATCCTCTGCCTAGCTTTCTTACGAGTTCTGAATCGACCAGCCGCGGTGTCAACACCTACATCGACCCCAGTGGGAGCATACTTGGCAGGCATCCCTCGGGCTCTGAAAATCCTGACAACACCCTTGCCTAGATCAGGAGACGACGCCAAAACAACCGTTTTGTCCGAGACCGTCAATCGTTTAGCTCTGAAACCTTCCGAGAACGCATCCGCAAGGTCCTGCATCTCAGAAACGATAGTCTCATGAGTGCCTTCTGAACGCCCAACAGTGTCGTCGACGAAAGTCCACAAGGAGGCCTGGGGGGCTCGCCTGTGTGCTGCATCCAACACAGAGTGTAAGAATACTTTTCCAAGACACACACCGTGCGACGAGCCTGCGACGATCGACCTTCCTGGGCAGAGCGGATCGCTGATTACCGAGCCCTCCTTGAGGATACGCGGGGACATGAACAGCAGCACCTCCATCAGCACAACAGTTTGCGGAACGTTGAGGCCGCGGGCTGCCACAATCAACAGTGTGAACGAGATTGAGTCGTAGAACTTGGCGATGTCCAACAACACCGTGGCAGAAGAAACTCTGAAAGTTGCTGACGCCTCGTCCATCAAGCTGCGCATCATCGCAGCGCGCAGCGCACTGCTGCCACGTATAGCAGTGTCCCAGAAAGCAGAGAGCCCATCTGACCATTGAGACGTGATCGAGCTCCTGACCTGGCTCCACGTTTTGCAGCACTGAGACAGCATCCCCAAGACACGCGACCCCCCTGCAGGTTTGGGAATGACCGCACATATCGTCGCCAAAAGAAAAGTCGGCCACGTCTGGTCCAGCTCCACTTGGTTCAAGATACAAGCAAGTTCCGTCAGTCCTGCAGGTGGCATACGACGACGAGGAGGACCAGAGGAGGAGGAGAAGGAGGAGAAGGAGGAGGAGGAGAATGAGGAGGAGGAGGAGGAGAAGGAAGAGGAAGAGGAGGTGGAGGAGGACCCAGGAGTGACGAGGAGGAAGAGGAGGCGTTGGAGGAGGAGGAGGAGGAGGAGGAAGATGAGGATGTGGAGGAGGAGGGGGAGGAGGAGGAAAGGGAGGAGTAGTAGTAGTGGTGGTAGTAGTAGTAGTAGTAGTAGTAGTAGTAGTAGTAGTAGTAGTAGTAGTAGTAGTAGTAGTAGTAGTAATAGTAATAGTAGTAGTAGTAGTAGGAGTAGTAGTAGTAGTAGTAGTAGTAGGAGGAGGAGGAGGAGGAGGAGGAGGAGGAGGTATGTCCCTACATCGGTTCATTTCCATTGAGGGAACTGCGGAACAACACAACACACCAGATCATCCTGACTGCTGCGCCCTGACGATCTGGATCATTGCCATAACGCCATTTTTGGGACCTCAACACCACGAACCAATACTATAACTGTTGCACCCGCAAGCTCCTCAACCCTTCCAAAACACCATTTCTGGTACGTTGATCACGGGAGTCCGTGAAACTCCTACAAATTTAAGAACGAATGTGCGCGGCATTCAAGCGAGAAACACAATTTGAAAACCACCCGCCCTCAATCCGTGACTTTCTTGCAAATATATAAAACGAATGTGCACGGCGCCTAAGTGAGAACCACATGATAGAAACCATCCGCCCTCAATCCGTGACGCTCTTGCACTTGTTAAACGGATGTGTGCGGCGCTTAGGCGGGAACCGCATTATGAAAACGACCCGCCTGCAATCCGTGAAACTCTTGCAAATGTTTACAACGAATGTGCGCGGCGCCACATTTGGAAAAGGAGCCGCCCTCAATCCGAGGAGCTCTTTGAATATTTTGAACGAATGTGCGAGGCGCTAAAGCGAGAACCAAAGTTTGAAAACCACCCGCCCGCAATCCGTGAAACCGTTGCACATGATTAAAACAACAAATGTGCACGGCGGTAAGGCGAGAACCACATTTTGAAAAAGAACCGCCCTCAATCCGTGAAACTCTTTGACCTTTGTAGAAAGAATGCGCGAAACGCTAAGGCGAAAACCACATGTTGAAAACCACCCGCCCGCCATCCGTGAAACCCTTGCTCATGCTTAGAAAGCAAGTGTGCACGGCGCTGAGCGAGAACCACGTTTTGAAAAGGAACCACCCTCAATCCGTGAAACTTGTTGATGAGCTTTGTAAAACGAATGTACGCAACGATAAGGCGAGAACCACAAGTTGAAAACCACCCGCCCTCAATCCGTGAAACTCTTGCATTTGTCAAACGAATGTGCTCGGCGCTAAAGCGAGAACCACATTTTGAAAACGACCCGCCGCAATCCGTGAACTTCTTGCAAAACGTCGGAGCTAAGGTGAGAGCCATATTTTGAGAACCACCCGCCCTAGCTCTGTGAAGCTGGTGCCACTTGTTAAGCTTCAGAATCATAAATGGCCGAGAAGTCTCAGGCGAAACGCCCGGACCGTCCTAAAACTGGCTGTGGGGTGCGGCAGGGATAAATTGAAAGGAATGGAGGAGGAGGAAGAGGAGGAGGAAAAGAGGAGGAGGCGGAGGAGGAGGAGGGAGTAAGAGTAGGAGGAGGAGGACGGGGAGGAGGATGAGGATGAGGTTGAGGATGAGGATGATGATGAGGAGGAGGAGGGGGAAGATGAGGACGAGGAAGGAAAGGAAATGGAGGAGGAGAAGGAGGAGAAGGGCGACAACGAGGAGAACCAGGGAGGGACGAGGAGGAGGAAGACGAGGTGGAGGAGAAGCAGAATTGGAAGGATGATGATGATGATGATGATGATGATGATGATGATGATGATGATGATGATGATGATGATGATGATGATGATGATGATGATGATGATGATGATGATACTCATGAGGAGGAGGAGGAGGAGGGGGAGGAGGAGGAAGAGGAAGAACTGGGGAGGAGGAGGAGGAGGAGGAGGACGACGAGGTGGAAGAGGAAGTGGAAGGTAGGGTGAGGATTATGTTGCTCCCATCGTACTTAAGGACCAGATCCCAAACAAAAAATCCAGCACCTGGAAAAGTGTCGAAAGAGTGTCGAAACAGTGTCGGACGAGTGTCTCCCAGGGCCCGACACGCGAAAACCCTCGAGTTTCGGTATGTTTGCTGGTGCTCGAAACTCTTTCTGGCGATCAAGGCTAAAGTAGGTTGGAACATCATAAGGTGAGGAGGAGGGGCGAGGCGGACCAGGGCGGAGCGATAATGATGAGGAGGAGGTGGAGGAGGAGGTGGAGAAGTAGGAGAAGGATGAGGAGGAGGAAGAGGAGGAGAAGGAGGAGGAGGAGGAGGACAGGAGGAGGACAGGAGGACGATGAGGCGGAGGAGGAGGAGGCGGAGGAGGGGGAGGAGGAGGAGGATGAGGAGAGAGGAGGACGATGGAGGAGCAGAAGAGAGAGGAAGAGAGAGAGGAGCGAGGAGGACGAGGGAGGAGGGAGGTGGAGAAGGGAGGAGGAGGAGCAGGAGGAGGAGGTGGAGGGAGAGGAGGAGGAAGATAAGGAGGAGGAACAGGGGGAGGAGGAGCAAGAGGAGGAGGAGGAGGAGTAGGAGGAATGGGAGGAGAAGGATGAGGAGGAGGAGGAGCCCAGCGTAGAGAAGGAGGAGGAGGAGGAGGAGGCAGATGAGGCAGAGGAGGAGGAGGAGGAAAAGGAGGATCGCACATCACTGAGGGAGAAAGAGAGAGAGAGAGAGAGAGAGAGTCCCGACGAAAGAGGAAGAGGAGGAGGAGGAGGAGGAAGAGGAGGAGGAGGAGGAGGAGGCAGAGGAGGCAGAGGAGGCAGAGGAGGAGGAGGAGGAGGAGGGAGGAGGAAGGTGGAGGAGGTGGGAGGAGAAAGAGGAGGAGGAGGAGGAGGAGGAGGAAGAGGAGGAGGAGAAAAAGGAGGAGGACGAGCAGGAGGAGGAAACGGAGGAGAGGAAGAGGACGAGTAGGACCAGGGAGGCGGGGAGGAGGAGGAGGAGGAGGAGAAGGAGGAGGAGGAGGAGGAGGAGGAGGAAGAGGAGGAAGAGGAGGAGGATGAGGAGGGAGATCAAGGCAAAGAGGTAGAGAGGCACGGCAGAGAATGCCCTCCTCCGCCGCGGCGGCGTGCCTCCGGTGTCCGAGGCCTCCCCCGCGCTCGTGGGCGCCTCCGAGGACTCGCTGGGGGTGCGGCTGAGGGGACCTTGCCGGGGGGGGCGCCGAGGAGTTCGGTGGCACATCGGCTACACGCAAGAGTGACCTCTGGGTTAGAGTGACCTCTGGTGCGCGGCTTTTTGGGGGCAGTGGGGACACCCAGGCGCGCGAGCCGCTGCTACCGCTTCGCGTTCCGTCATCTGGGAACGCTTCTGTGCTCGCAGCAAAAAAATCACTCCGGCGAACGGTCACTTATGCGTCTAGTCGAGCAACTCATGGGAGCCTCCCGTGCTATCTTGCCGGCTCTTGCGAATCGACGCTAAATCGACGCTGATCGACGCTGAGTCGACGCCAGGTCGACGCTGGGTCGACGCCAATCGACGCTACAAGGGGGCTTTCTCATCGATTACCAGATGCTAGCGTACGCTGAAGCACTCTGAACATGGAAATGCGAGGACATGCTAGGCCCCCTTGATTTGCTACCGAAAGAGGGGGGCCTGGGAAGAGGAGGAGGAGGGGGAGGAGGGGACGGAGGAGGAGGAGGATGAGGAGGAATGGAATGGAATGGAATGGAACAATGGAGCAACCCTGGGATCCGAGCGTCGCATTTTTCCCACACCGGACGTTTTCGCCAAACATCGGGCCATGGGGCTATCGCAGATCGATCCGGCTCGAGGAATGTCGCAGAAGGATGGGGTCGAGGGCCCTGGTCGTGGTAGTTTGCTTTGTTGCATGTTTTCTGTTGCAGCCTGTCTCCCCAATCAGAGCTGTGCGTAGCCCGCCTAGCTTTTATCGGAAGAGGTTCGCTCTCGCCCCGCAGACCAAAAAAACATGTTTTCTGTCGCAGCGCCGGACCTCAGGGGAGAAGGAGGAGAGATGGAAGAGAAGGAGCAGAAGGCTCCATGGAGCAACACGCGCGGAGTTCGAACGAACTGCTCGTCCCACGCCGAAGCTGGCCGAGCACTTTGCGCCGAGCTCCTCAGACCCTGCGATCCTCCTCGGGTCTCGGCCCACGGGGGCCGCGTCCTGCTGGGCCCCCCCTGGGCCGTCGGAGATCGCTGCGGGAATGGGGCCGGACCCCCTGGGAGACCCTCCCGTCTGGGAAGTGCTCGAAGCCCCCCGAAACCCCCTGGGAAGGGCTCGAATCGCTCCCCGAGACGACTCCCCCACCCTGGGACGGACTCGACCTGTCTGGGACCCGCGACTTCGACAAACAAATGCAAAAAAACGGCGAAAACGGAGGTCGACCGGGCTCTCCAGCTTCCCCGCGTGATGCCGTGATTTAAACCTTGAATCGATCGCGGCCCCGATCCTTCAAGGTCGAATGCAGCCGGGCCCGGAGGCGTTGCCACCGTGTCCAGCGGTGCTTCCGCGCCGCAGGACTGCCACTCGGAACGCCTTCGCTGGCGTCGCCGGCGCGCCAACGTCGCAGGAGCCTTTCGTAGCGAATCCGATCATGCCTCGGGCTTTCCCGCCGCCTCCAAGCGCAAATGCATCGAGGAAGGGCACCTGGCGGCGGGGCCGAAAAGCAGCTGCACGCAGCAGACTCCGTAACTACTCCCCCTCCTTTCCTGTCCCCCCCGCACGTCCGACCCGATCCTCCCCCCCCCCCTTCGAGGAAGAAGGGGCCATGAGATCCGACGTTGCGAAACAATTGCCACACCGCGGCGAGTCACGACCAAAGCCCTATCGACCCCATCTTCCTACTGCATTTTGCGAACGGGATCGATCTGTGGCGGTCCTGGGGTCCAGAACCGTGCGAAAATGCCTGGCGTGAAAAAAATGCGACGACTAGATCTCAGCGTGTCCAGACCCCCGACGTCGTGCTTTGTTGTTGTTGTTGTTGCTGTTGTTGTTGTTGTTGTTGTTGTTGTTGTTGTTGTTGTTGTTTTTGTTTGTTTGTTTGTTTGTTTGTTTGTTTGTTTTCCGAACGTGGACTCCCAGAGGTATCGACCCCGCAACTTTCGGGCTCTGGAGGCCCAGTGGCAACGGCACCCACAGGCCGACAGCTGCGAAAGGCCTCCCTTCGTGATTGCTTCACGCCCAGCGCGAAGAGAACAAGCAGGACGCCAGGATCTTCGACCCGCCCGCGGACCCCCCGAAGTCAGGAGGAGCACCGGGCGCTGGCTGCGCGGCGGGAGGGCGCACGAGGGCCTATAGGGGCCCCACGCCTCGGCGCTCTCCGCGCGGCGCTCTCCGCGCCCCCGGCCAGGCGGTGCTGGAAGTGCCCCTGGCCGGGAAGGTGCCCCCCGGGAGCTCCAGGGATCGATGATCACCGAGGCGCGAACTATGACCCTCGTGTGCCTCTCCGCCGAAGCCGCCTGGTTTGGCGCAGGCGACGTGAGTGATGAGGACTGGCACGGGAAGCGTGCTGCTGGTGGAGATGAGTGTGGTAAGCACATAAGCACACACACACACTGGGCCAGCACACGTCCTCCGGCTCATGGAGAAGAAGCTCCACGGACTCCAGAGCTTAGTGGGCCCCGGAAGCGGCAAGGCCGTTTTTTCACCCTTTCCGAAATGCGTCTCGAAAATGGAAGCGGCAAAAACACGGCAACCATCAACAGCAAACAAACGGCTCCAAGATTGGATCCGGAGCTGAAACCGGCAAACAACAAAATGGCGAAGGGGCCGGCAACAAAAACGGCGTACAGCAAGAAACGGCAGAACGGAACGAGTAAACAAAAAAACGGCCCTGTCCTTTCCAGGGCCCACTGAGCTCCCCAGACCCCCGACATCACGATGTTTCATTACGTCGGCCCCTGGAGGTCTCGACCCATTCCCCTGGACCGGATTTTTCATCCTCAAGCGTTTTTTGCTGGTCTCGAGGGCCGGGAAGGAATGCCGAAAATAACGAAAAACCTTCCGTCATGATGCTTCAAATGCCCGAGGGGGTCTGGGTCTAGAGAACCCCTCACCAAAGGGCCCCCCAGGAGGCTCTCTGGAGCTCGCCAGGGGCGCCTCGGGCCAGGGTCAGGTTGGGCGTGTCTTTTTACAAACTGATTTTGGATGAACAATACAAATATCCCAACGATATTAAAAAATGCTCAAAGAAAACAAAAGAAAGGTAACCGGACTATTTTTAACTACTTTTGAATATTCCCCCTGTAGAGGGACACGCCCGACTTAAGGCCAGGACCGCCTCGAGCCACAAGCGACACACACACACACTGACACTCACACACAGACAGACACACACACACCCACACACACAAACACATGCACACACGCAACACACACAGACACACATTCAAACAGACACACACACACACACACGCAACACACACAGGCACACACGCACACACAGACACACACACAGACACACATTCACAAACTCTCTCGCACACACACAAACACACAGACACACACAGACACACACGCACACACGCACACACAGACACACACACACAGGCACACACACAACATACATACACCCACACCTGGGGGACGCCTCGGGCTGGGGATGCCTTTACTGCACCAGTCCCCAATCGTCGGAGGCGGGGGGCAGCGGTCGAATTGTCTGACCGCGAAGCGCGATGATCTCCGCGCCCTGGCGGGTGGCCAAACCATTCTGTGCAAAGTTGCTTGACCTTCAAAAACACAACGAAACAGCACAACTCCTGTTTTGCCCTCTGTGTGCATTCTGGCCAACAAGAACACATGCATTCGAATAACATTCCACATTCAGGGCAAAATAATGCCCTCACAGAGTCCTGCCTTCCGTGACATGTGCATTCAAGGTCCTTCCTTCGGCTTGGCGAACCTTGCGCGCGGGATCCGCGAGGGCTTCTTGGGTGCCCCCACGAGGCCCCCGCCTACAGGGCTGATGGGCAGCATCAGGAGGGGACCGTCTCAGGGGGGGGGAGACATCGAGCTGGACTCGGCGATGCGTCGCCGGCAAATCAGCCATAGGTTCTCGAGGGCGAATCCGCTCGCTCCTGGGCGGGGCGGGTTATCCACTCTTGATCTGGGACCAGTGGGCGATGGGGGATCGATGCGGCCCCCCCTGGCCCCGTCCCCTCCCCAGAACGTTGTCCCGGAAGGGTCCCTGGCTCCGCCAGGCACTTTTGGCCGCCATGGGGTTGCCCCGATTTCCAGTTAATTCCAAGGGGGGGGTCACCAGTCGGTGGCCCGCACCTTCCTCGAGAGAAGCGCCAGTTCCTCTAGTAGATGGGCCCCCGGCACTCCAGAGGCCCCTCTCGAACGACTGCAAACGTCCACGAATCTCCTCGAACGTCGGCTCTGGAACCTCTGTTGTCAGGAGGAACTGGCGACCCCACTCGGCACTGCCCGAGTTGGTGAGGGTTCGGTTGGCGCACGGACAGCCCATGTAGACCCAGCTGGCCTCAGCAGTCGGGGGCGGCCAAGAGGAGGGCGTCCAAGAGGGGGGGGCGCAAATCATGGCTGGCGGCACGTGCGCGGCCCAGGGGGGGCGGGGACGTAAAGAAATAAGAAGAGGAGCCAAGAAATCTGGGGAAATATCATGGCCACCGCCATGATATCCCCCCCCTAGTCATCACCCCCCTCCTGGCCGCCCCCGAAGCAGACCCCCGAGCATGCACCCCGAGCGGGTCAGGGCGGTTTCAACACCCAAGCCCCGGTGCGCGGAGCGCCCCAAGGGCGCCGCCGTCGGTGGCGCCAGGGCGGCGAAACCGCCCCGGACTACGCGTGGGGGCCTGCTGAAGCCAGCAGGGAGTGCTCGGGGGGTCTGCGGAGACCAGTTGTGTCGGCGAGCGCTCCCCCACACGACTTCACTTGCACTGCTCCACTATTGGGGCCGTCCGGGATCCCTCCACCTCCGAGGCCGCGCTGCAGGGCCCTAAGAGGACCTCTGAACATTTCCAGAAGGACCCGAAGATGGCTCCAGAGGGCCCTCCAGAGCAGCGCTGGGTAAGTCATGCGCGCGATCTCGCGCGATTTCACTCTCACTGTTATTGAAGCCCTTTGGGAGCGCTACCACGCCGCGGTGGAAGGGGTCCAAGATGGTCTGGGTCGTTTTGGAGCCCGGGGTGCTTTACGGGCTGGCATATTGGGGCGATATTGATGGCCTCTTGGGCCGTCTGACAGCGTGGAGAAGCCCGAACAGCAGAATGTTAGACATTTGAAAACCAAAAAGGATCAACGAATTCCATTTCTTGGGGCTCCTGTGAAAGTGCTTTCGGAAACATATTGGCTCGCCTTGGATGCCCATTAAGCAGCGGGGGAGCCTTCGAGGCTGTGAGCGGTTCGAGACACTCTTGAATCGTATTCGGGGCCTTTGGGGGCACTCGGGGGCCATTTTTGGCCGTTTCGGCCGTCTCTGGGGCGCAACGTGCGCTGTTTTGGGGCCCCCGGAAACTGCATGCACCGTTTTGCGGGCGTGTGAAACGATTTTAATGGTAATTAGCCGACCCCGTGTGGGTCTCTTGGCGTGTGAGAGTCCCCCCCCGTAATCCCCCAGGGACCCCAAACCGGCAATTCGACCCCCCCCCCTCGCCCAGCGCGACCCCGGACCGAACGCGCCACGAGGGAGCGGAGGGCTCCAAAACTTGTCAAAAAGGCACCAGGACGCTCCGCAGGCGGTCCCCCGGGGCAGCGATTCGCCGACAGATCGCCCCTAGACGCCCACGGTGACCCCCAGGCGGTCTCCGAAGCTGCACGACGCCCCAAAAGGCCCCCAAGATGCGCCCCAAAAGGGTCGCAAGAAACGGAAGTCGGCCCATGTCCTTTCGAAAACCAAGCATGCGTCGCATGCTCGCCTACCCGGCTTTCGCAACGTCCCAAACAGGCAAACAAACATTCAACATCGCCCCCAGACGGCCAAAGGGGCCCCAAAGAAGGGTCGAAGAGAGTCCAACAACAGCCCGCAAAGCCCCCAAGGCAGCCCAAGAGGGCCCCCAGACGGCTCCAAGACGGAGTCCAGAGGGCACCTTTTCGAGACTTCGGCCGCAAGACGCCCCCAGCCTGCTCCAAGAACGCCCCCAAAGGCCCTGAGGGACCTCCAACAAAACCTCCGAGGCCTCCAAGAGGCCCCAAAGATGTCCCCAAGAGGCCCCAGAACTACCTGCAAGACGACCCCGTCCGGCCTCCCACGAGATCCTCTTAAACATCCGTGTGGCCGCATACCTGCAACCCAAGCAAGGTGGCGGGATGCGCCGCGTCCCATTCGAGAACCACTCGTCCGGTTTTAGGACCGACACCTGCCGTCTACGAGCGCGGGTGTTCGCAGGTATTTCTCCAAATTTGCACGGCGAACACTTGGAAAGTCAGCCACCAAAAACGCACTGACCACGCAGTATCCCTCCACGGTCTGACATTGCCTCCGCCTCCAGAGCGCTCCGAAGAGACCCCGCGAAGCACCCCTCAGATTCGGACCCCCTACCAAGCCGGTTTGGACCGACGGCCATGACACATTGAACGGTCCAGACACCCGCAAAGGGCCACCAGAGGCAGGAGTACACGCCTCCAAACCAAATCGTCCCTCCTCCTGCTCCTCCTGCTCCTCCTGCTCCTCCTCCTCCTCCTCCTCCTCCTCCTCCTCCTCCTCCTCCTCCAATGACCCTCCTCCGCCTCTCCCCGACCCTCCCCCGCCTCCTCCTCCTCTTCCGCTTTCTCCTGTTTGGCTTTCCTCCTTCATCGATTTCGTCTTCCCTCTCGCTCTCACCTTCGCTGGTCGTACTTCTACGGATCGTGGCACCGGCGCTGGTATGGGTGCCCAACTCTGCAGCGTAGCTCTCCGCGGCAGGCGGCAATCCTACCTGATCTGAAGTCAACGGCTGCAGTGCAGCGGGAGAACAAACAGCGCACGTAGCGTCTGATGCGCTCGTGCCAACTCATGCTGCACTAGACAAGGTCCCCTTCATGAATTTACTATACAAGAGATTACTCTCGCAACCGTGCAAGATTTCACACACGCGGCAGAGATGCCGGCAGCTGAGTGCGCAGGCCACTACCCATCGAGACGTAAGTGGTTGATCCAGCTGAAGTGGCAGAGTCGATGAAAATTAAAACCATGCATCGGCATGCATTGAACAACAACGAACTGGATACATAATTTCTGATGTCCATGGGGATTTCTTGGATCGGAGCTGGACTGACCTCCCCGGCGCGCGGACCCCGCCAGGGGGGGCGCCGAAGGCGCCGATCCAAGAAGCTCACTTTGACCTCCGAAAGTTCATTTGTTTTGTTATTTGTTTTCATCGTTTCTTCGACTCACGAAGCCAACGGCTTGCAGCAGTGGGGGCAGACTGGAGGGGAGCCAGTCGGGCCTGTCCGACGACCTTGACAGCCGATGCGCGCTCGCCAACGACGGGGGGGCGGCAGGCCACATGGGGAAGGACAATAAAAAAAGAGGATCCAGCCCGGTGCGTGGGTCCAAAAATACGGATTCGCGCTAGGCATCCTCACAATAGAACTACGTCGGGCATGTCCCCCTACAGGCGGATTTTGGACGAAACAAATGCAACATCAAAACATATTGAAAAATATGCAAAACAAACACGAAACAAATCGCTCCCAAAGTATTTGTTGACTCTTCTTGAATATTCCTTCTGTAGAGGGACAGGCCCGACTCAACACTAGAACAATCGCGGCAAGGCATGACATACATGTCAGACCGGACGGCCGAAAGCGTCACGCCCCACCCAACGGGGCGGCCACAACATAAAACACTAGACGCGGCACTGACAGGCATGCAGGAGGCGCGGGCGGAGGAGGAGGAGGAGGAGGAGGAGGAGAAGGAGGAGGAGGAGGAGAAAGAGGGGGCGGAGGGCGACATCCGACGGAACTTCACGCATTAGGTCACAGCTCACAGCCCACAGCCCTCAGGAGGAGGAGGAGGAGGAGGAGGAGGAGGAGGAGGAGGAGGGATGGAGGAGGAAGAGGAGGGGGAGGAGCCGAGGAGAGGGAGCCGAGGGGGGCGAATCTAATCAGGCGTACTGCACTCGACAGGCCTGCGCCCCCACCCCCCCACCGACGTAGCATCACGTGAGAAAACTGCCGACGAGCTGGCGACAAATTGCACCCCTCGCGTCGTCAGACGCCTCTCCCCGCAGCCGCGCCCGGCAAGCGTGTGGCGACGGGCCGCGCGCTCTGGCTGGCTCGTCTCGACGGCCAGGGGCGGGTTGCAAGGACGCCGCCCTGCGACTGGCCCCGCTGTCTCGCTCCTGGACTGCGGCGGCATGCTGCTGCTAACACCCGGCCGCGCGCCCACCACCGCGACACCGCCGTTGCCGGCCCTGCCCCGTGCGGCGCCGGCGGCAGCCTCAGGCGTGCGGCCCGTCGTCGCGAGCTGCTGCCTTTCTGCATCCGCACTTCCATGCAGGGCCGCATCCTGCGCTTCCTGATCGAGTGCGGCAGGTGGCAGCACTGGCATCCACGCCTAGGGGGGGGCAAGCAAAGCATCAACATCGAAACTCTGAGGTCCGCACGGGTTTTTCGGATCGGCGCTGGGGCCCCCTCCCTGGCGCGCGGAGCGCGCCAGGCAAGGGGCCGGAGGCGCCGCCAGGGGGCCCCAGCGCCGATCCGATGAATCCGACCGGACCTCCGACTTTTGATGTTGTTTACGTTGTTGTCATTGTTTCTTCCCTGGACGCCCGCTCGCACAGCCCTCCTTCGACGCTTGGTCGCGGCACTGCACGCATATGCCGGCGGCGTGTTTCTCCTCCTTGCCGTCCACGCGTCCTGCATCCTGGTGCCCAACTAGCTCACGCTCTTGCCCGCGTCCAGGCCCGCGGCTCGCAGAATGAGAGCTGCACGATACCAAATCGGAACATCCACTGTTCCTGTACTGGCCGCTGTCGCTGAACACCACCCCGGAGCGGCGGCCATCAGCGGCGACCGAGACCAAGGCCGAGAGCGGCTCGTGACCACGGGCATGCGAGATGCGGCCACTGGCGCGCGCGGGGCATCCCACGGCTGAGAGCCGAACGTCACCTTCGCTCTTGCTGCGCCTGAGCCCAGACATGTCGTTCACTGCCTCCAGGGAACAATTCTTGACGACCAGCATAGTTCCATCAGCCTGGCACACGCCCTGCGGCCTGACATCGCAAGCGCTGCGCATGAGCCTGATCGTGTGCCGCGCTCTCGCCCGGTGTGAAGCGCGGCAGACTTCTTCGGGAGGCCACTTGCTTCCCTGTCTTTGACAAGAGTGGCTATGGATCCCCTGGAGCTGGTCCTGGATCCCTGATGACTTTTTGACTGCCCCAGGGCCCTACAGCGGACCATGCAGGCCGAAGAAGGCGGCAGTAGCGCCGCTTGACTTCTTCAACACGTCGGAACTCGGGGCCCAGAAGTCCAATCTCAACTCCAGGGCCTTTCCTGGCGCGCTTTCTGGCCGAAATTATCGAGCGGCCTTCAGCAATGGCCAGGAACAACACAACACTATTCAAGCACCTCCATCCTCCATCCTGGATCTTCCATCCTCCATCGCCAACGACGCCCCTACGATCCTGCCATCGCCGCCAGAATCGCCACCCTGGACCCTCGATCCTAGATATTCGACCATGACGCTCCTCAGCGTCCCCACCGCCACCCTGGATCTGGCGGCGCGCCGAGTGGAGAAGTGGCATGGGGCAGGTCTTCTCAGAAGGCGGCGGGTCTTTTCAAAGCCCTAGGAGGAGGAGGAGAAGGAGGAGGAGGAGGAGGAGGAGGAGGAGGAGGAGGAGGAGGAGACGAAGGGAGAGGAGGAGGAGGAAGAGGAGGAGAAAATGAAGGAAGAGGAGGAGGGAGAAGAGGGGGAGGAGAAGCAGGAGGAGGATGAGGAGGAAGAGAAGGAGGAGGAGGAGGAGGAGGAGGAGGAGGAGGAGGAGGAGGAGGAGGAGGAGGAGGCTACGTTCGTCGGGAGCCCTCTTGTGGCCTCGGAGCAGGCGGTCCGGAAACTCCCCAGGAAGCCAGAAGCCTTCTGAGCCTGCTGAGGGAGCCCGGCCCCTCCGCCTTCCCTCCCGTGCGCGTCGCCGATAGAACCCCGATGGCAGATCGCCGCCAGGAGCGCCGCCGCGGGCCCCCGATCGGGGACTCTCGGCCATCAGCGCCTCCATAGCAGGGACTTCACCAACAGGCACTTTGGCCTAACCAGCCTCGAACTCATCCCTACCCCTCAGAGGGGCGAGCAAAAAGCGAGGACAATCTTAGGGATATAGGCCCTCAGAAACTGAGGGAATCCGTAAGATCGGCATCGAGGTGAGGTGATGTCAAACATAGGGATAGGGATACGTTTCAAACTGGTAGTGGCCAGTGACCCCGGCGAGCTGCACCCTTCCCCGTGTGGGCAACGCTGCAGTGCCAGAAAGAGGCCCTATAGGGCGGCAACGGTCGGCACCATCTCAAACTGCCCGTCAGTGCGTACCCGTTGCGGTGCCGCTGACGGCCATCACGCACTCTGGCGCTGGGCCCCTCCCACGGAGAGCCCCGCATGAAACTTCCTCCATCGACCCCAACAGCGACGGCGGTTACGAGTACTCCGCTGACCCCTTCAGATTCGAACATCCGGGCGGGACCCCTATCGGGAAGGTTTCCCACTCGAGGCTTCCTCGCGTTTTCCGCGTAGGCAAGGCCCCTCATGGAGAGTTCTCTCACATTCAGGCCCGCGGTATTAAAACATTACAAACATAATATATTTACCTTTTGTTCCGATGATCCGCTCGGATTCGAACAGTGACACAGGTGCCCCATATGGAGGGGCTCCCGCGCCAGACTTGTTAGCGATAAACTCACAGCGAGGCGCCCGCGCGAGACTTGTTCCACATTCAAGCCTCAGGAACCAACCAATTACGAAAATGAGACGTATTCCGATGGCCCACTCGAAATCGATCATGGGGGTAGGGACCCGATAAGGAAGAACTCCCGTCCCAGACTTCCCGGCGGCTCACTCACGGACGAGGTTCCCGCTCGAGACTTGTTCCTTCGTCAGGCGTGGGAAGCCCGACGGCAATGACAGCAATTCCGATGGCCCACTCGGCTTCGAACGTGGACGCGGGGACACCATGCGGAGGGGGCTCTCGCTCCAGACTTCCTTGCGATTCGCTCACGCACGAGGCCCACGCTCGAGACCAGATCACGAAACATGTGTGCGTGTGTGCGGTGAATGTGCCGATGATGACGGTGGTGGTGCAGAGGATGCTCATGATGTTGATGCTGGTGATGATGATGACAGCGATAATCAGGACGACGACAACAACCGACGACGACGGTGATGGCGCCGAAAATGATGAAACTGATGGCTATTGACCGTGATGGGATGGGAACCGTGATGATGATGAAACGGGTGGTGACGATGCCGACGCGATGGCGACTGTGAATGTCCAAGGACGTGGAATGAAGGGGGTGGGGGGGGTGTTTTGTGTGTGTGTGTTGTTTGTTGTTGGTTGCTTCCTCTCTCTCCCTCTCGTTGTCTTTTATTGTTGTTGTCTTTTTTGTCCCTCTCTCTCTGTCTCTCTGTCCCTCCCTTTCTTGTTCATGCAGTGCTATCTCTCTTTCTCTCTCCCTCTGGCGCGGAGCGCCCAAAGAACGCAACGAACCTGTTCAGGTGCGGGGGATACGCTGCCAACGCATGGAGGGCCTCGGCGACCGAGCACTCGGATTGGCCCTGCGTCGCGGGCGGTCGGGTCTGGTCGGTCACCGCACGGCCCCGACTTGGGGGCGGTATCGGACGGGACGCGTGCTCGGTCGATGGTTTCTGTCTTTTGTCGGGCGGCCATGGCGAGAAGAAAAAGGAGCGGGGAGGAGAACGAGGTGGGCGATGAGGGAGGGACGCGGGAGCGCTGGGAAGGGCACGAGTGCACGAGGAGCAGCTCCTGAGAGGGGGGGGATGAAGACAGGAGAGGGGCAGAGGAAGGTTGGAGGAGACGAGCGGAGGATGGGAGAGGGGCGGGGGGGAAACACATCGATCGATCGAGTGTCCAGGCCGGTTCGGGGGCTACTGCTCTGCTACTAGTGTTCGCTGCGTTCCCGTTGCGGGAGGTCGCTCGCGCCACGCGGCGCTCTGACCCTTCCTGCACGGGCTCTCCCCGCGCAGGGGTGCGCGGGCAGGGTGGCACCCACTCGCAGATGCCTGCTAGGCAGCTGCCTCCCACTCTATGTCGATATCATATTTGGCGCTCTCGGCGTCGCGCTGCTCCTCTTCGGCGCTGGCTGCGTATGCGCGCCAATCGCCGCGCGCCCCGACTATCCAAGCGAAGTCCCCTGCGTCGACCCGCTCGAAGACACCGTCGCGGGACCACTCGATGACGGCCTCTTCCATCCACTCGTGAAGCTTGGTGTTAGTACATCCGCGCGGACGTCACCACGTGGCCCTCTTCCAGACGCCTCCCCACGACGTCGCGCACGAGGTCTGGGAAAGCTCGCGCGCCGCAAAAACCTTGTCTTCTTCGCGCCCCTGCGCGCCCAACGTTGTGTCCTGGTCGTCGTAGCTCTGCTGCGTATCGTGCGCCGCGGGGTCCTTGGTGTTCAGCGCCTTCTCCTGGATTATAAAGCCGTGTTCCTCAAGGGTCGCGGTGCCCTTGGTGCCAAGCGTCACGTCCTGGTCGGTGTTGTACTGTATCTCGCGCGCCTGGGAGTTCCTGTCGCCCGGCCGTGCGCCCTAATTGCCAAGCGTCGTCCCCTGGTCTGCGAAGCTCAGCTGCTCCTCGTGCTTCGCGGTGTCATCGGATGTCCTCTGCGCACAGCGTTTCGTCGTGGTCCGCGCAACTCTGCTGTAGCTCGTGCGCCGCGTCGCCGTCCTTGCTGCCCGTTCTGTTGCTCCTCGTGCGCATTGGCGTCTTTGTTACTCGGCGTCTCATCCTGGCCTGCGAAGCTCTGCTGCAACTCGTTATTTGCGGTGTCCTTCTGTGCTTAGCGCCGTCCCCTGGTCTTCGTAATACTGTCGCTCCGTGGCCGTTGGGACCCAGCATCGTTCTCTGGTGAGCGGGCATCTTCTGTTCCTGGTGCACCGCGGTGTCCTCTGTGCCCAGGGCCCAGTCCTGGTCCGCGTAGTTTTGCTGCGTCTCGTGGGTCGCTGCGTCATTGGTTCCCAGCGTCGCGCCCTGGCCTGTATCTGCCCAGCGAGGGGTCAGAGTAATCTGCGTCTCGCGTCGACGTCCAATTCGTTGAATGTGCCTCCGCAATCCACCGCGCACGCGGTGCATGGTGATTGGGTTGTAGACATGCAGAACGAGGAAGACCCGCGTGATAAGCTGTCCACGCTGTTGCCTTGCCGGTGCGGGGCGGCACCTCCATCAACCTGTCACGACGAACTGTGCCATGACTTTCTGGGTTCGCTTGCTGCTCTGACATATCTTGGGCCCAGATGAAGCTGAGAAAGGAAACCAGGAGAGGAGCGGACGATGCGAGGGAGTAGGGAGGAAGGAGAGGCGTAGGAGAGGAGCGGAAGAAGGAGGGACGACAACTCAAGGAACGAAGGAAGCGGAGGGAAGGAGGAGGGGGGGGGAGGGGGGGGGGGAGCGGAAGGGGGCGAGCCAAGAAAAGAGCGAGAAGGGGAAGACGAGGGAAAACGAAGAGGCCCGCGGACCTGCTGGCCACGCACGGCCCCAAAGCTGCGCAGCAGAGCACACGCATGGACGCATCAAGAGTGCGAGGATGGAGAAAGCCACGACCCGCCAGGCTCTCTGAGCCGCAGCGGAGGGAGGAACCCGAGAAGAGTGGGGACGGAAGGGAAAACCCGAGGAAAGCGCCACGCCCAAATGCCAGACCGTGCTGCAACTGCGCGGCTGCGTGATGCGCTGCGCTCCACACCAACCCTCGTGCTGCTCCAGGGAGGAGGTGAAACCGAACCTCGACGCGTGGCTGAGGATGCGGAGAGACAATGCCCTTCCGCCGACCGCCGCCTGCCGGGGGTGAGAAGGAGTGCAGGAAGCCTGGCTGCCCCCCCGCCCCCTGGCAGGCCTGCGATTGGTCGAGCGGCGACGTCGAAGCGCGGCTCGGAAGCGAGTCCGATCGCCAACGAACCGTCCTGGACCAAATCGAGATCGGATGGCCGCGCTTCGGGGATCTTCTGACCCGGGTCAATCCAGACCCGGGTCAGCAGGAAACCAAAAACTGCAATGCAGGAAAAAAAACTGCAACGCAGGTCTTCGCAAACCCGGGTCAGCCAATGTGTGCGGCCGCCTCGCGGCCACGAGCGGCTCCCTAACCCGGGTCAGCCAGAGGGGGTCTTTGCAGGATCCTGCAGGATCTGGTGCCCTGGCTGACCCCCGTTTGCGTTGACCCCCGTCTCGAGGCTCCCGAATCTCCCGCTGCCCCCCGCTGCCGGTCGCATCGAGCCAATTCGCGGTCGAAGTCGCGGTCGAATCGAGCCGCGTCGAATCGCATCGAGTCGCAGCGTCGGCGGCCCTGCCCCGGCCCGCACCCCCCCGTGCACCCGAGCCCGCCCGAGGAGGGGGCGGCGCGCTCGCCGACGGGGCCCCGGCAGCCCGCCTCTACGACGGCTCGCGCCCCCCGCGCGGGCACCCCCCCGGAGACTCCCAGAGAGCTGCTCCAGATAGATGGCCGCGACGTTTTGCTGTCACGTGGCCAAATTGCGGCGCTCGCACGCCCGGGTTGGCGGGCGTGCTGTGCGGCCCCTCTCGGGAGCCCTCGGGGGGGGCCCTCGGGGGGAGCCCTCGGGGGAGCCCCGCGGAACTGGTGCGACTCCGCGTTGGCCCCGTGGCCCAGCAGGGTCGTGTCACCCCGTGCGGGCCATGCCCGCAGCTCCAATACAGAGCCCTTGCGACGCGAACAAAATAAACGGCGCCACATCTAAAGTTGGCCCCTGGATGGCCCGACGAAATCCCCATGTGGCCCCGGGCGGCTAACATGAGCTCAACGGTAATGAGGGCGGCTCCCGATAGCCTCGAATCAAGAACATTGCTTGAGTGGGATTCGCGGTGCATTTTCGCATGACAAGCCTTGTGGTTCAATATGGGCCTCGTGCCTCAGGGCTTCCTGGAAAGGACGACTGAGCAATTGTTTGTCCGTGTTCGTGTTGCTGTTGTTCCCCAGTTCTGGCGCCGCTTCTGATTCTGATTCCGTAGCGAATTTTCTTCCGAATCCTCCAGCCCAGAGCATTCAAGTTCCACTTCGGCCAACCGTTGGTCTGCTGCTTTTTACCCTCGAGACCGAGCTTCCTGGCGACGACAAAGAAAACGGCCCTGCCGTTGTCAAGAATCGGGTGCTGCTCAAGGTGCCCCTGTTGCTCAAAGTGCCCGTACCTTCCCGCGCCGCTGTGGAGCCCCTGGGGGTCCACTGGGCCTCGCGAGGGGTGCTCTCTGGAGGCCGCGGGGTCCTCGTTGGCCATCCCGGGGGGGCGCACGGGCCAGGGGCACTTCTAGCAACCCCCGAGAGAGTCACTGAGCCCCAGGGTGGGCGCAAGGCAAACGCGCACTCCCTTCTCCTCCTCCTCCTCCTGGCGCGGCGAGGCACGGTCTTTCCCGTCGCCGCGCTTGCGCGCCCCTTGGGAGCTCGTCCAGGCAGGCGACGACAAGGAAGAACACCGTGGCGGGTACCTCCCGGACGGGGCCCGGGCACGGATGCCTGGGCCCCGTCCGGCTAGTCAGCCAGCCCCTCCGCCAGCCGGGCGGCGGTCGTCGGGGCTTCCTCCCCGCGCACCGCCGTGCGGAGCTGCCGAGCGACGGCGCGGTGAAGCGCCGCGCTCAGCTCGGCGCCCCAGCGCCTTGTCAGCGCGCCGGCCGCGGCCTCCGCCTCCTGGCCGTCGCCCAGCAGGCTCTGCGCCTGGTCCCGCGCGAGCCAGCGCAGGTGCCGCAGCGCTGCCTGCCCGAGGCGGCCTGCGGTCTCGTGCGCCAGCGGCAGCAGCGGCCAGGGCACGCGGTGCCCTGGGTAGCGGCGCCGCTTGTCGGCCTCTGCCGCGGCGTTGACCGCTCCGTCGCAGTCGGCGGCTGCTGCCAGGGCCCGCGCGTCGCCTGGGACGCTGTAGCGGACCGTGACGTCAGCGAGGAGACGGGGGCAATCCCCTCGCTGCGCCTCCAGGTCCAGGAGCGCTTCCTCCCGCTCCACCGCGAGCGCCGCTCCGCAGGCCGCGCGCGGCCCAGGCGGCGGGGCGTCAGCGGTGCCGTGCACCGCGCAGGCCGCGGAGGGGCAGCGCCAGCGCCACCTGTCCCAGGCGGGCGCTGGCACCTGCCGTGCTGTCCGGAAGCCACACTCCTGGTGGATGTGCTCCCAGACGTCCTCCAGGTCGCGGCTCCGGGCCTTGGTGCCGCCCCCGCAGGCGCACCTGTAGGCGTGGCGCGCCTTGCTGCAGAGCGGCTCTCCGCAGGCCTGCCCCGCCCTCGCGCCAGTTCGCAGGCGGTTGCCGCAGCGGCTCCCGGCGGGCGCAGTGTCTTGGCCCAGCAGGGCTCGCGCCGTGGCGTAGTGGTCGGCGTCCTCGAGTCGTTGGCGCGGCCCGCCGTTGGCAAGCTGCCAGCCCGCCGCGTGAGGCCCTCCGCAAGAGCGCAGCAGTGCCCGCTCCTCAGCTCCCAGGGTGCTCCGCAAGGCGTGGTAGTGTTTTTTGTCAAGCCTTTGCGTGAGCAGCCGCTGGGTTATTTGCTGGGGTTCGGCCGCAAGCTGTCTCCAGGGCGGCAGTAGCCGGGCCCTCTCCTCCTCTTCTGGCAGCAGCTCTGCCAGCGCTTCCCTGCAGGCGGCCGCTAGGGGCAGGCCGCAAGTGTCCAGGTCAGCCAGCTCCGCCAAGCCTGTCCGCGCCTGGACGCCAGCCAGGTTCTGCGCCCAGGAAGCCGCCCAAGCAGCTGGCGCCAGGGCGGCCTGGCTCCGGAGGCCTCGGCCGCCAAATCGCAGCGGCAGGCGGCATTGCGTCTGCTGCTCCTGCCTCAGGGGGTCGAGGCGCGCGAGCTCCCTGTAAGCCTCCAGCGCAGCGTCGTCAAAAGCGGTGGCGGCGGCCCGAGCGTCGGCCGGCCGGCAGGCGCGCAGCTGGTGGGTGAGCTTGCCCGCGCCGCAGAGCCGCAGCAGGAGCGCAGCCGCTTGCGCCGCCGGCAAGTGCGGCGAGGCCAGCGTGGGCAGCTCAGCAAGCCTCTGGAGCAGCGCCGCCGCCCTCTCCGCCGTCTCCGCGCAACGCGCGGCCGCGAAGCCTGCGCCGCCTAGGTCAAGCCGGCGTGCGTCTCTCTCGTCGGGCATGCCACCCAGTGGAAGCGGCTGGCCCAGCGGGGCGCCCAGGAGCGTGATGCCGTCAGCGCGCCAGCGGCCCTCCAGGCCAGGCGGGCAGGCCGCGCGGGCAGACCAAACCTGCGTCTTCCGCTGCTGCAGCTCCAGCCCCAGGCGCCCCAGCGTCGTCTCCGCGGCCGTCTCGACCTCGCCTGCCAGGACGGGCGGCACGAGGACGACCACGTCGTCCAGGTAAGCCAGCACGTGGACGTCGTCCGCCGACTGGCCGCAGTCTGCCGCTCGCGCCTTCAGCGCGCCCTCTAGCGCCTGCAAGGGGGAGCGGAGGCCGCGGGCGAAGAGCAAGGGCGCCAGCGGGTCCCCCTGGTCAACGCCGTCCGCCGAGCCCAGGCGGTGGCAGGTCCCGCCCGAGTCCCAGAAGTAATACTGGGATCGGCGCCGGCAAAACAAGTTCGCGTAGGGGAGGAGCTCCGGCGCAGCGGCCTCCAGCTCGCCCAAGCAAGTTGCGCGGTGCGCTGTCCCATAGGCGTTCTTCTGGTCCAGCGCCACCAAGACGAGGTCTGGCTTGGCCTCCGTGAGCGCCCGGACCGTGTGCGCCAGCAGCTCGGTGCCGGCCTTTGTGCCGATGGCGAACTGGTGCCGTCCGAGCGCGGTCGCGAGGTCCTCTTTCCGCGGCGTGACCAGCGCCCTCCCTACCAAGCGGCGGAAGATGTTGGGCGCGGCGATGGGTCGCACGCCGCCGCCTGGCTTGCTGAGCGGCGTCGCCCGGGAGAGGGCGAGCGCGTCTGCTGCGCCAGCAGGTAGGTCCCCCGTGGCGAGCCGGTCGCAGATTTGGCAGAAAGCTTCTAGGGCGGCTGGCTCCGCCAGCAGCACCCGCCAGTGTTCGAAGCGGCCTCCGCCCACAGCAGCTCCGCTTCCCTTTGGGCTTCTCCGGAGCGCCCGTCGCAGTTCCAAGTGGGAAAGGGGCGAGGCGGCCGCGGGCCCGCCGCGGGCCCTGGGCTCGAGGGCAGGCGCTCCGCGCGGCTCGAGCAGCCCCTGGAGCGCCGCCGCTGTCTCGGGCGTGAGGGGGGCCAGCCCTGGGCTCGCGAGGAGCGCGGTCGCCCTGGAGTATTCCTCGGCCAGCGCCTTCCGAATCACCGCGTCTGCGAGGTGTTTCTCTGCGTCCTGGCGTTCCCCCGCGGCCTCCCTGCGCGCGCGCGTCAGGCTCTGGGCAATCCGTCGCGCCTCCGCCAGCAGTTCCTCCCAGGCGCCCCTGTGCAGCAGCGAGCGCCGCTGGCGGATCAACCCGGCCCGCGCGGCCGGCTCGTTCCCTGGCTGGCGCCTGCCGCCTGTGCCGCGCTTCAGCGGCGCCGAAAAAAGGAGTCTCTCGCGGAGCAGAAGGAGCTTCCAGGCCCGCTCCTCCGCCTGGCTGCCGCGCGGCGCGTGCAGTGCCGCCTTGCAGAGGGCCTCCGTGGCCTGCGCAGCTGCGGCCCGCGCCCCGTTGGGCACGAAGCGGAGCGTGGGGCAGTCCGCCGCCAGTTCGTCAAGCAGGTCCAAGGTGCCCAGTCCAGACCAGCAGTCCGCCGCGAGGTCTTGGAGAGGCTGCTGCGGCGGCGGCGGCGGCAGCGCGGGCCTTGCCTCGCCCCCTGGCGCGGCGGGCGGCGCGTTTCCCAGCGGAGGCGACGCTGGGGCGGCGCCAGCCGCAGCGCCTCCGGCGGCGGCTGCGGCCGCGGCGGCGGCGGCTTCGGCGCAGCCCCGGCAGAGGAGCTCGTCGCAAGCTTCGCAGCGGTGTAGCCAGCCTCCGGGCCCGGCCCCGCCCCCGCACGCAGCGCAAGCCTCGCGGCGCAAGGTCCGCACTGCGCGGAGCGGCCCCTGGCAGCCCGGGCAGGTCAGCGCCGCCTCTGTCGCCGGCCCGGGGTGGCTAGCCTCGCCGACCCGCGCGCCGGCGTAGCCGCAGAGCCGCCTCAGTGGCTGCGGCTGCGGCTGCGGAGGCGCGGGGGCGAAGCAGACCGTGCGGCCGTGGCAGCCTCCTGTCGGGCCCCGCGTAGGCGGCGCGCCGCCCTCAGAAGGGCTGCGTCGTCGTCTGCCCCTGCCTGGTCGAGTTCCTCCAGCAAGGCGCCCTCTTCTGCGCGGAGCTGCTCTTCTGCGTCCAGGTCGTCCGCCCAGCTGCCTGCGCCCCGGGCGCTGCCAAGCTCCGCGTCCAGGTTGGGCGGCGCGGCCTGCTCTGCCGCGGCCTCGAGCGCTGCGTGGGCCGCGGCCGTGGCCGCCAGCAGCGGCTCTGGCGGCTCCGCGCCCCAGGCCCTGGCCCCTGTTTCCAGGCGTTCCAGCAGTTCGCGCGTGGCCTGGGCCAGGGCCGGCGGTTCCGCGGCGCCCCTGGGCGCAGCCGCCGCCCGTGCTTGCGCCGCTCGTTGGGCAGCCTCCTCCTCCTGAGCGGCTGCCTCGGCAGCTGCCGCCGCGGCGCGTGCTTCCGCCGCCTGGCGCGTCGCAGCCGCCAGCGCGTCTTCTGCCGCAGTCGCCGCGGCTGCTGCTTTCCGCGCCGCAGCCCGGAGGCCCTCCAGGCGGTTGCCGGCGCGCTGCTGCGCCTGGCGCTCGCGGGCGGCTGCTTCCTGCCGCTGCAGTGGTTCCACCGCTTCCTGCGGTGCGCCTGCCTTGCGTGCGGCGGCCGCAGCCTGGCGGAAGGCGTCGGCCTGGGCCCCGGGCCGCTGTGGCCGGCCTCCAGGGGGGGGGGCTGGCCACCCCTCGGCGGCTCCGCGGGCGGCCGCTTGAGGGGGGAGTGCAACAGCAGCCCCGGCGCGAGGGGCCGCGCACCGGCGGCACGCGAGGCGGTCTTCGAAGTTGGAAGTGCCGCAAGCGCACTGCCACTCGGCCCTGCGCGGAGGCCGGGGCGCGCGCTTGTCTCGCCCTCCGCCTCCGCGTCCCCCTCCGCCGAAAAGGCTTTTCAGCAGCTCCACCGCCAGCTGCTGGTTCTCGCCAGCGCGCCTGGCGCGGCGTCGGTCGACGACCTGCCATGCCATCCCCAGCAAAGCAGCGCCGCCGCCAGCCTGAGCGCCTGCCCCAGGCGATCGCGCGGCGAGGGAGGGAAGGCAGGAACGGGGGAAAAGAGCAAGGAAGGGCGAACGAGGAGGGAGGCGGCCGGGCAACGGCTGCGCGCGACTTGATCCTTGATCTTCCTCCTCCTCCTCCTCCTCCTCCTCCTCCTCCCTCTCCTCCTCCTCCTCCCTCCTCCTCCCTCCTCCTTCCTCCCCCCTCCCAAGGTGACCCCCACAAGACGTCCCCAGGAGGGCGCCCTCAGGGACAGCCCGTGCCTGGCCCACAGGACAGCGAAGCGGTGCCACAGCGAGGCCCCAAGAGGGGTGCCTCGTGTCACATGGGGCCCCAAGAGGGCTCTACGAGGGCTCAACGAGGCCCCAAGATCAAAGATGGCCCCAAAAGAGCCCAAAGGGCAACGTAATGCCAACGTCGAGGACTGAGCCGCATTACTCTGAATGGCCATCCATGCGCCGAGCCCCCTCTCCCGGAAATCACAGACACGTGAAATACATCAGCCCCTCTTCCGTTGTTACTCCACCCCCTTTCTGCCGCAGCCTCCAAGATCAGCAGGCTCGTAGGAAGGATAATAACCTTTCATCCGACGAGGAGGCCATCTCCACGAGCTTTCGAACGTGCACTGGATCAAGTAGCCCCTGCTTCTTCGGAGGAAAGCGGAACGACGAACGCCCCTCGAGTGATAGTGGGGGGGTAGATGGTTCCATTGTTAGTCTCCCTCTGATGTTAGAAATCGGGGCAGCCGCGGCAGACACAACGGCAGTGACGGCTGCGACAGGGAAGGCAACGCGCAAACCTCCGTCGTCGGCCATGGTGAGCGCATCTAGCTGCGTCGAGGGTACCTCCCCTGCGCCCGATTGTCACATCCACAAGGGAGGAGGGAGGCGATGGGAGAGGGGGAGGACAAGAGGGAGGCTGAGGAGTATGATGAGGGACGGGAGGAGGAAGCCTAGGATGATGGAATTCGAAGAAGATCACGGGTAAACTGAGGGAGGAGTAGAAGGATGAAGGGGGAAACGAATGTTACTAAGAAGACCTGACTGAGGAAGAATTGTGGAGGAAGGTCGCATGGCAAATGCACAGGATAAAGAGGACGAAGATGAAGAAGGGACTGTAAGGATGTGGGGGATGAGGATTTGAAGGGACGGGGGTGAGAGGAAGTTGAGAGGAGGATGACAATGAGCCATACTAAGGTGAGGCTATGGGCGCATGCAAGTCGGAGCGGATGGTGGGGCAGTACGACGAATATGAAGAGGAGCGGGAAGAGACCTGGAAGGGGGGCCTGAGGGTGAGATCGGACGGGGAGGGGCGCGAGATGCGAGGAGGCTGGGGAACAGTGGGGGAGGAGGAGGGAGGAGGGAGGAGGGAGGAGGGGCGATGGCGCAGAGAATGAGCTGGAGGGAGGGGGGCGCAGCGGGAGGAGCCGCCTGGGCCGCGAGACGCCTGCTGCTGGTGCGGAGCAGGCCGCCCGTGCACAAGCGCTCCGGCGCTCTGCCGCGCCAGACCCACCCGCACGTGCCGGCTCCGCCCGCGGAGGGTGGCGAGGGCGCGCCGCGCGAGGGCGGCGTGGGCAGAGGCGAGGGCAGGGAGGAGGGAGGAGGGAGGACAGGAGGACAGGAAGGGAGGACAGGAGGACAGGAAGGGAGAAGGGAGGAGGGAGGAGGAAAAGGGAAGGAGGGAGGAGGGGACCGCAAGGGGAGGAGGAGGAGGAGGAGGAGGAGGAGGAGGAGGAGGAGGAGGAGGAGGGAGGAGGAGGAGGGCGTAACAGGAAAGGGGGGGAGGACAAAAAGGGGTGTCTGGGGTAGGATCGGGGAGGCGGCGGGGCACGATGGCCTCCTGGGGGGGGGGCAGGAGGCTCGACGCCGCCCTGCTCCCCCCCCCAACAGAGTTTGTCATTCTCCTCGTCCTTTCCCGCCTTCTCCTCGTCGTTCTCCCTGCTCCTCCACCTCCTTCCCCTCATCTTCCCTTTGCCTCCTCGTCCATCTCCTCCCTCCACATCCCTTCTCCTCGTCCTCCTCCACCTAATTACCCCCCGACCAAGTTCCGAAGTTCCGCTGAAACTCGGTCCGAGGAGCCTTTTTCCCAGGGTCCATGCCCTGGCCGGTCTTCTCATCCCCGATGCCGCCCACAGGCCCGTTGGATGAGCAGGTGGTTTTGGTCAGTCCGCTCTTCCAGCCTCCCCCTTCCCTTCGGGGGAGAGCCCAACCTGCCCCGCTGCCCCCCCCCTCTCCCCGGGTCTGGAGGGGGCGTTCTGCGAGGGGCTGGGGCGTCCACTGCGGGTCCCAAGGATCGACACCACCACCACCACCATCCCGCCCCCTCCTCCAAAATGGTTCCAGTATTGCCCACAAGAGCCCCAGGAGGGGCCCCAAAAGCGCCCAAGGCGGCCCCAAACCCGCAAGATGGCACCAAGAGCACAGGCCCGTTGGATGAGCAGGTGGTTTTGGTCAGTCCGCTCTTCCAGCCTCCCCCTTCCCTTCGGGGGAGAGCCCGACCTGCCCCGCTGCCCCCCCCTCTCCCCGGGTCTGGAGGGGGCGTTCTGCGAGGGGCTGGGGCGTCCACTGCGGGTCCCAAGGATCGACACCACCACCACCACCACCATCCCGCCCCCTCCTCCAAAATTGTTCCAGTATTGCCCACAAGAGCCCCAAGAGGGGCCCCAAATGCGCCCAAGGCGGCCCCAAACCCGCAAGATGGCACCAAGAGGCAATCAGTCTGCCTCCGGCGGGGGGAGACTGCTTGGCGCCGCCCCCTTTCGAATCGATGGCTCCCAAGATGGCCCCAGAAAGGTCCCCCGATGCCTCCAACATGACCCCAAGAGGATGACTCCACAATGCCTGCCAGAGGCTCCCACAGCGTGACTGCATGCTACTACACACTCCTGGTCAAAGCAGCTCGCCTGGTGATTCGTTTTTTGGATGGGCTGGTTGGGATAAGCGTTGCGTCGTGGATTTCTGACGTTCATGGGGCCCGAAACGGGCCCCGCGGAGGACAACATCGGGGAGAGACCGCCCGCGCGCCGTTTCGTCCATCCTGGGCGAGATGTGCTGCCTCTGGGCGAACTCCACACCTCCTGGGGCCAAATATCCTGCACGCGTGTTGCTCCGTTTCTTTGTCCATTTGATGCCGTCTAGGCGGCATCGGGGATGACACCTCCCCTGGGCGAGGTTGGCGGCAAACGGGGGGACAAACAAGTACCGAGGACACTACTCCCCAAACCTCTCCTGGAATGCATTCTGACGAGAATTTCGAAGCGAATCCAGCCGCGGCGACGAGGGACTCCCAGAAGGCCCAAGCAGGCGGAACCGAGACAAGGGCAACGGTGAAATGATGTTGCGCTCGTTGTCTGCTTTGTTTGTTTTATTCTGGAAGACGTCCGGACGATACCTCCCCTGGCCGAATCGGGAGGCCACATCGGATCGGAACGCGCGTCGGCTCGGGCCGCGCCGGCGCGGGGTCGGCATCGAATCGGATCGGCTGCTCCAATGAGTGTACAGCAGCGCCATGCTAACAGAAGGCCGCATCGAGGCGTCGGAACATCGGGGCTCGGTCGGTTCGAGCTGACCGGAACCGATATCGAGTCCGATACAGTAGAAGCTCGACCACAAGAAACCTTCCACAAGAAACCCAGCCTTGAGACCCCAGGACGTCCATGGACTTTTGGTGTGGGAGCGTCGCGCTTTCTGTAGCAAGGCCCTCGAAGCCCAAGAAACCCGGGGCACCCTGGAGGCAAGCATTTATTTTGTTCGCATGGGGGTCGAAGTGGGCCCCGCCCCGGGCGAGTCGGGCGGCGAAGCGAGGAGGAGGAGGCTGGCTGCGCGGCGTGGGGAAATGAGAAGGAAAGAGCCCCCGCGCGCGATGCTCCCCTGGCTTGCCCAACCAGGAACTCACGAGGGCCCAGGCCTCCCGGTAAAACATCGCGAACATCCGCGCCCCCCGCGAAGAATCCCCGAGAGACTGGGCCTCCCGCGAAGACTCCGCGAGAGTCCGGGCCTCTCGTCGCCAAGAATTCGCGTGTCCTTTCCTCCCTGCAGTGGCCTTCTCGTCTTGCCTACCTTCCTTCCCGTCCCTCCTTCTGCCTGCTCCTTCCTCCCGGACCTCCAGCCGCTGCAGCTTGTTTCGGTGTTCGTGGGCCCTGGAGGTCTGGGCCACTTCCCCAGGGTTAGGTCGGGCATGTCCCCCTGCAGGCGGATTTTGGACGACAAATAAAAATAGTCAAACATCAATCCAAAATTGGAAAAAAAGAAAAGGAGCCTCCCCAGACTGTTTTTAACTATTTTGAACACTCCTCCTCTAGAGGGACGTGCCCGACGCAACCCCAGGGCCGGCCTTTCGCCCCGAGCCCGTCTCTGGCGCTCCCGGGGCCCCGCGAGGGCCCCTGGAGGCCGCACACTGCCCCCGCCGCGCCCATGTCTTGCAGCGCCGGGTCTCTGGGGGGGGCCCCCTCTCGGGGGCGGCAAAGAGGGGGGTGTCCAAGAGGGGGGGGTGCAAATCATGACCGGCGGCATGTGCGCGGCCCCGCGGGGGGGCCAGGGACGTAATGAAATAAGAAGAGGCGCCATGAAATCTGGGGAAATATCATGGCCCACGCCATGATATCCACCCCCCCCTAGTCATCACCCCCCTCTTTTCCGCCCCCGACCCTGCTGCGCCCTTGGCGGCAGCGGCCTCCGCGAGCTCGGGCGCGCTGGCCACCAGGGCCTCCAGGTCTTCGCGGACGTCCTGAGGCGCGGGCGGCTAACCCCCGCCCGGCGCCCGCCGCCGCGGGCCGCCGCCGCGGCCGCCCAAAGCGTCGTCGTCGCCGTCGTCGTCGCCGCCGTCGTCTTCGTCGACGGCGACAACGGCGAGGCCACGGAGAGAGAATTCGAGCGAGAGAGAGCGAGAGAGATAGAAGACGAATCCAGGATGAGAACATATGAGATCCGGCACCTCGAGAGCCGCGGCCTCCTCAGAGCGCTCCGGGACGCTCTGGGAGCGTTCCGAAACGCCCTGGGACGGATTTATCCTCGTCCCAAACCCGTCCGACAAAGACCGTAAGATCTGGGCGATACCTTTTGTTCGCACGGGGTGGTCTCGCCCCGGAGCCATCACAGACTGGAACCTGCCGCGTCAAGACGGGATCCACTGTTCTGGTCGTGATTGTTCGCGGTCTTGTTTTTTTCACAGTGTCGGATCTCTCTCTCTCTCTCTCTCTCTCGAGAGAGAGAGAGAGAGAGAGAGAGAGAGAGCGCGAGAGAGAGAAAGACCAAGGCGGGTCGGATCGGATTGGCCCTCCTCCACGAAAGTACCCGACTTCCCGACATCATTGAAGGGGCGTGCGGGCTCGCAAGGACGAGTACAGCTCACGGCGCCCTTGCGCTCTGCCATGTGACGCAAGACACGGCAGGCGCTGGATTCTCAAAACCCTCTGATGCCTCGCGCTTGCAGGAACAGGCCTTCGAGGAACGGGGCCTGCGGGCAGGGCACTCGCCCACTGCCGGGTCCTCTACTTGGAAAACAAATCCACCACTTCCTTGCCCCCGAGTTTCGGCACCAACGACGCCCCACGTGGGGCGCGCTATGCTGAGTTGGGTTGAGGAGGGGGACGTCATGAAGCAAGAGAAGGGAGGTGGAGGAGGAGAGATGGGAACACCAGTGCCACGATAGGAATTGAAAATTAGCCTGGCGAAGGACCCAACCTGGCCCAACCATAGTCAGTTGTGAGCACCGCGAGGCAGTTGTGCCGAAGGAGGGGAACTCCCCATGACGCCACAAAATGCATGGGCGACCGAATAGGGAATGGTGAGGCATACGATCTTTGCTATTTAGGCCTTCCGTGGAAATCCCGATGGGGCCTGGAAGACGTATGGGGACTAGCGCAATGATTGTTGTTAGGGCAAACGACATGCTGACCTCAGCCCGCGACTGCATGCGGACTTGTTCACTTCGGCCCTCTGTGGAGTTCCTATGGGGTTGAAAAGCGTGGCAGGGGTGAGCGAAATGAGCCAACGGCTGCATGTAAACTTTTTCATTGCGGCCTTCTGTGGGCTCCTATGGGGCTTGAAAAGCGTGGCAGGGGCGAGCGAAATGAGCCCAACACTGCATGCTGACTTTTTCATTACGGTTGCCTGTGGGGTTTTCAATGGGGCTCGAACGACGCGGCAAGGGCAAGCGAAATGAACCCCCGACTGCGTATGTTTTCATGTTGACCTTCTGTGGAGCGTCTATGGGACTTGAACTGCGTGGCATGGACGAGCGGAATGAACCCATGACTGCATGCGGAAATGTTTCTTTCGGCCTGCCGCGGAGCTTCTATGGGACTTGAACCGCGTGGCCAACGCGAGCAAAAGGAGCCCACGCCTGCATGCGGACTCTTACCCGTCGGCCTCCTGTGAAGCCCCTCGTGGGGCTTGAAAATCGTTGCCCCGCCGTCCGCTTTATTGCTCCGCCTTCGTGTATAGAAAAAGGGAACAACAATAACACATACACATAAACTCTTGGCCCAAGTCGGGCGTGTCCCCCTACAGGGGGATTGTGGACGAACAAATGAAAAATACCCAACACATATACAAAAGATGCCCAACAATATTCATTCAAAATCGGATCCCCAATTTATATATTTGTTTTCTCTACTGTTTCTGAGTCTCCCCCCCCTGTAGAGGGACAGGCCCGACGTACCTCTTGGCGCTGCGCGCGGATTCCTTGGCTCTGCGCTGGAGCCCGCTCCTGGGCGCGCGGAGCGCGCCGGGGAAGGCGCCGCCAGGGGGCCCCAACGAGGAGCCAAAAGATCCGCGCGGGTCGCCAAGAGTTTATGCCTATTGAAGGGGCCCTGGGGCACACAAATCCGCCGATCCGGCGTGTGAGTTTCAAGGAGTCTCAGCTACAGCCTCGAGGCTGAGCCTCAGCCTCTGGGGGGGTTGCCGGGGTGGCTCTGCCGGGGAAGGGGGGGTGGGGTGGGGGGGAGGGGGGGCGAGTTTCCGGCGGATGCGGGGTGGGAGCGTTTTTTGACACCTCTCACAAGGATCGTGGCCTCAGAGGGGGTTCCGAACTCGAGTACCACCACCCCTCCCGAACCAAGAAGCTCCGAAGAGGCCTCCAAGAGGCCCCAAGGGGCCCAGAAGAAGCCCCCAAGAAGCCCCAAGAGACCCCCAAGACACCCCCCAAGAGGCTCCCAAGTGGCCCCAAGAGGCCCAAGAGGCCCCCAAGAAGCGCCAAGAGGCCCCCAAGAGGTCCCCAGAGGTCCCAGCCAACCACTAGATCACAACCAGCGTCCATGAGGCCTCTGACCCACCACCCACGCACGGTGGCGGGATAGGCCGAAGGCCAATGGATAAATGCGGACTGAGAGGGGGAAGGAAGGGAAAAGAGAGGAGGGACGAGGACGAAGGATGATCACATCAGTCCGAACACCCCGGATCGGCGGCACTGGCCGAAGGCCACTACAATAAATCGACACAGATAACTAGATTCCCCATATGTTCCCATAGTTTCCCATATTTTCTGGGAGCTCGACGATTAATTTTGTCTGTGTGTGTGTGTTTTCCCATCCTGCGTGTTTTTGTTCTTCTTCGAGTGTGGAACGGACATGGCCCTCTTTGTCCTCCTCGCTGCTGCCTTGCGTCTCACCTTGGCCGTCGCAAGAGCCGGCTGTCGGCCTCGCGCAGCAGTCCAGGCCCAGATCGCGCAGGAGAAGCTGCGATTTGATACCAGCTCCAGGCGTGCTCAGCTTGTGAACGTTTTCTGATTCGGAGTTTCGACATTGGGCTGAAGAGGGGGAAAACGGGGGTGGGATGGCTCAGGACCTCTGCTTAATGCGACTGTTTGCAACAGCGCGTCTTACGGGGGAGACTCCACCCGCTCGAAACAGGCGCCCAAATCAGCCAAGATCTACCCCATGGGGGGGGGAGGGGGAAGTGCGAGGGCCCGCGCCGATCGGCAAAACTGGTCCTGGTCTGCTTAGTCGTTAACCTGTGACGCCAGCCAACATCGTGAATGTGTTGATCGGCTGCGGCCTGCGCCCAAACAAACGTTAACAAATGTGACGGAAGAAACCAGATACTGATACCTGACAAGTGCCACGATCCCTTCCGACCGTAGGACCAGATCTGCCACGCATTCCCTGACATAGGTGCCAACGCACTTGTCAGGCGCGGTCTCGAAGATGTGATACAGCATCGCGCGGGCTGAGTGATTAGCCGCCTGGCATCCAGCATTTATCCCGTTGGTCGGGGCAGAGGGAGAGGAAGATGAGGACGGGGAGTGTGATTGATGATACGTTTTCAAGCCAAGGCAAAAGGGGCCCCTAAGAGCCAAGCGGCGGCGGGTGGCGTACGAGCGTGTCATACACACACTATATATCACACCTGTGAAACTTTGTCACGAGCTAGCCGGTTGGCAGCCACTCTTAGGGGCTAGTAAAAAGGGCGTCTCCAAACGAGACGCAGCGTAAGGCGGCCAGGGTGGCGACAATAACATCACTTCCCCGTCGGGATAGTGTTCACTCTGGCTCTAGCCAGCTGTTTCTTCACTTTCTTGATCGTTGACTCCGGGTCCGGGGTAATATCGTAAGTACCAGTGGTCAATATGTTAGCAAGGAAATCATTTGGCATAACTTTAGTGAGGCAATCTACGGCCATGACACTCGTATCGATCCAGCGGATCTTATCGCAGAACAACTTCGGGTGCAGGATTTCTACCTCTTCATCACCTCGTGTCCAAATGTCCTGACGGAGACTGCTCAGGTCAATACTCAAGCGCTTATCCTCCGTCTTTCCCATAGTAGGCGCTGTTAGGTGCTCTTCCAAACTCTTACCATCTGTCATCCAAATGTCTCATCGTCATGGCTGAAATCTCTTCCCAGTCTGAAGGGAGTATACTAGCTACCCCAAGCATACCTCGCGCATCAGCGATGGCAGCACGTATACGCACACCTGATTCTACACCCCAGAGTCAAGCCAACGTCTCTGCTTGTAAAGTAGATTTGCACACACGCCTAATAACCTTGCTCGATAAACATATAGGGTGGACGTAATCACTGTTCCCCTCGACAAATCCCGGCCCTGCAAGTCCGTTGAACCTGGCCCTCTGGGATCTGAGGGGCTCCAAATTGCCTCTTACAACATCGTCTTCTCCAGCCCAGCTGGCATCCGTAACGGTAAGAACGATCATGTCCTTGTCCCACAGCACGGCACCACCTTTAAACACAAGTCCGCTGTCCGACGTCTGTACTGCTTCTTCCAAGACGCGGTTGGCCTCCTTAAGGTGCTATACCTTCGCATGGGTCACTGCCGTTTGCAGTCGACTCACGCGGTAGAGGAGCTCGGGCTTGCATTGCCGACAAACCCAAGACAAGGCACCTACAACTGACCTAAGTTGTGATGTCTCTCCTTCGTTACAGCGCCTGGTGAGTGGGCTGTCCCTGGGATAGGATACAGCTTCTATCTTTTCGATGTTGTCCTTGGCCATGACGTGGACGGTATAGTCTTGATCTTGAGCAATTTCTAACCCGCAGTAACGGAAATCTCCTGACTTGACCTCTCTGATGTCGAACTCTGCCAGCACGGAGTCAATAATCCTCTGGCTCTCGTCGTCTGGCGGAGGATGATGACGCTGAGGATGACCATGACGAGGAAGCTCGACTCTTATTTTGTGGGCTTCGGAGATGAGAGGAGGCGCGACTCTGGCGAGACGATGCTCGACTTCAGCCGGCATGGATGGCAACCATTTTATCCTCCCCTCCGCCT